TTTTAAAGGATTTGCTGTCTGCTGTAATTAAGGTCTGTGTGGCGAGGCAAACGTGGAAGTGTCCTTTGTCAAAGCTGAGTTTTCTTTTCTAAATAAATCTCCTTTAGGAGCCGCCTTCCTTCCTCACTCCTTATTTCGATCTGTTTGCTCCTAATATCCTAACTTGGCTTTCAGGGTTTTTTTTTTTTTTTTTTTTTTACAACAGTAACATCTTAACGATTGCTAAAAACCCCAGCGCAGAAACGCACGAAGCGCCCTCCCCAGAGGCAGCGGCCGTCAGCAGCTCGGCGCGTGCGTGTGCCGAGGTTCCGGAGGCGGCGTCCTGCACCACGCAGCATCTGGTTCTGTGACCTTTTGCTCAGCTGTACAGACGGGGCGATTACGTCACGCTTCCAACGGCCTGCTGGCAGCGCTCCCGTGAGCCCACAGGTGGGCAGAGACCTTCCCGCTGTCCATGCACACGGCACGTCCTGGGCTTCCCTTTGCGTGGCCCCTTGTGCAGGCGTGCAAGCTGGTTAGCACACAGCATCCAGAAGGGGACAGCTGGGTCACACTGCTTTCCCCCAACGTCACGTGTCCAGCCAGAGGCCTGGTCCTTGCGCAGGGAGCCCCGGCTTGCTTACTGCCTCAGGTGGGGAGGCTGGAAGGCAGATTTCCTTAAGCACCTCCCCGAGGCGAAGAGGGAAGCCTGTCTCGTTGACAGGAAGGACTCTGCAGTAGAGGCTCGCCCGTCCCGGCGCCCTGACACTGGAATTCCCCAGTAGACAGGCCTTGTCGGCATCTCTGCGCTCCTTCGACTTCAGTTTGGGAAGGCAGCAAACTTCTGACTTAGCTGGAATGCCTCTGTGCTGCATGCTCACTGCCCCTCAGACTAACCTAGAAACGGGCCGTGGTTGGCTCGGCCGCAAGCACAGAGGTGGTGGCCGGGAAAGCAAGCACGGGCCACGGCCGCCGTCTACACTGGTCGGGTGTGCAGGTGACCGACATGCCCTGGGCCGCTCGCACACAGCCGGCACTAAGCTGCTTAGCGAGCGGGGAGGCCACGTCTGCCCTGGGGACGCCTGGGCGGCTGGCCCTCCCGGCTGGGGCTGGGGATGCCCGTGCTCAGTCCCTGCCCTTGGGGAGCTCAGTCTGGGTGACGGGGGGCAAGGGAATACAGGGGAGGGGGGCCTCGGGCCTGGACTCGGGCAGAGCCTTCTCCCGGGACGTCACTGCAAGGCTCGGCTCCAACAGCTGTGACTGTTTGGAAAACGGCGTCAGGACTCGGCGTTTGTCTCGATACCTCCTTCATTCCTTGCTGCCGCCTCCACTGTGGACGAAACCTCAGCGTGCACAACGTCTCGACGTGGTTTCCTGGAAACATCCGTTGGGCCAGCGGATGAGCGTTTGATGCCTCTGGTCCCGGAAAGCACCTCAGTGCAGACTGAGGGCACAGCGGGGACAGAGGATGGATGACCGAGCAGGCGGGAACCGAGGCGACCGAACCTGTGGGTCATGGAGGGGGGCGGCCCATCCACAGAGCTGCTGACCTGAAAAGGTGACAAAGACGCTGCCTAAATCCCGGGGCCTCCCCACGCAGGCTTTGGACCAGAGCCACTGAGCTCTTTAAGACCCTCTGGGATGCTTCGGGTATTTCTGCCAGGAGCTACGGGATGTCAAAACGAGGGGCTCCCCCCGTTGTCACACGCCAGCAAGGGGAGAGCTGGGAGCCCAGAAAGCACAGGATAAGGCACCTCTTTTTTTTTTTTTCTTTTATTATGAAAACAAAACAAATGCCCCAGGAGAAGGGTCCATGATTACCAGAAACATCAAAGAGTACTTTCTACCACTTTTATTCTGTTGTGTTGAGGCCAGCATTGCAATAAACAAGCTAAAACTACTACACTGGACTCATTTTCAATAACTGACATTTACAGGAATATACTAGAAACGGCACTAAAAAGTTTAAGAAAAGTTACGGTAAACTTGCATGCACATCATACAGAAAAGTAACATTTTAAATATAAAAAAGAAAAACCTCCTGGAAGTGTTATGCCAGTATTAGGGAACAGCGCTACACCAGGTGTAACAAATCTTTTACCGTGGGCGGTGTCCCCCCCCCCAACTGTAAAAGATGTGAATGTTGCAAAAGAACAAAAACCAAAAAACAAACACAAAAGAAAAACGTATCTTAACAGTTTGTAAGCAAGGTGAGTGAGCAAGCATCTCTGGAATTCAGTTAACAGCCCAAGCCGCCCCCTCGACCCCCAGGGATCATGAGGACTGTTTCAAAGCCATTTCCGTGCCCTGCACGAGGCCAACCCACCGAACACAGGCCCTAAGCCTCGACAGGCTGCCCTCTGGTTCTCGGCACTGGAACTCCGCTTGCCCAACGCAGAGAAATGGAAATGGCAAACACCCACAGGCTGACCTCGGGGGTGGGGTTGGGTGGTGGAGAGGGTCCCCCCAAAACTCTGAAATCAGTTTTGAAGTCTGGGCAGAAAGCCTTAAAAAAACCAGTGAACTACAACCGCTCAGCACGGACTAAGCCCTCCGGCAGCGTCAAAGCCAGCAGATCTTTCAGAGGAAAGGAGCACAGGTGGCTGAAACTCCACATCTCTCCCAACACAGAACCAGCAGGTAAGGAAATGCTCCCGCTGTGCTCAGCTCTAGGGCCCGATGTCCCCCGCTGAGTGGCTGGCACAGGTGACCCTCCCCGCTCGCTCGCGGCTGGAGGGGCACCCCACGGGAGACCCCAGCACCTCCAGGCCCCCCAGTTGGGGTCTGTTTGTTACTCAGATGCGTGCCTGCTGCATACTGCCCATGAGATCCTGCTTCAGGACCTTCCATCTTGTCGTAATTCCTTAAAGTCGTAGGTTATTTACTCCATTAAAGATCTGTTTAGAAAACACCTTTGAAAAGCAGGGCAGCTTTAAAAAATGGCAAGTCTAAAATTCATTTATATTTTTATTACAAACAAAACTTAACGAAAAAAGTTGAACAGACTGGCTCAAAACTCACCCAAAGGTCAGAATCACCAGCAGTCAGCAAAATGGTAAATCCACCATATCCATGGCCTCATCAGAGTTCTATACCCATCAGAGGTATCCTCTAGCCATAAGTGTTAGTGGAATCCAAGTCGACTTTAGGATTTTTAGAAACCACCGCCTGTTAGGATACCAACGACTAGTCTCCCGATCCATCCAGAAGTGCTGGCAGAAAGAACTCGCCACCAGACAAGAGGCCAGGCCACCCGCGGCTCCACCCCCAGCACCCCCCTCAGTAAAGTCTCACGGGGAGAGAGACTACTGCGGTCATTTCTGTGCTAATTGGAAAATGCGCGGGCAGGGAGCCCCGTGCCGCCACTGCTGGCGGCTGGAAGACCGCGTGGGGCAGCGGGGGCCGCGCCCCTCTCCTGGAGGTGGGGGGTGAGGGGTGCCCCATCCGGGGGCCCTTGCATTCCTGGCCAAAGCCACAATGGTCAGAGCACAGGCAAGCAGTATGGATGGGGCATCCCTGCACTCAAAGGCCGTATGGCAGCCTCTGGAGAAAACAAAACCAAAACATAACCTTCTGTTAAACTCTGTATATTATTATTATTATTTTTTACAATAGAAAGTTAAAAATCAAGACTTAGATTTACTATACATTTTTCTTCTCTCAGATTACAAAGTTTATATTATATAACTGGGGTTCCCTAAATTGAAGTCTTTTAAAACAGTCCTAAGAGAGACCAGAAGTGAATACAAAAGAACTAAACAAACGAAATAAAAAATCAGAATGTGCTGCAGCTGGAAATCGTCTACACCTGTAAGTCTCCAAATTTCATACACACACGAAAAAGAACAAGAACAAAAACCCCAGCAGCCCCGAGAGGAGAGCAAGCGCACACAGACGTGATTGAGCACCGGCACGGGGACAGCAGGCTGTAGCACCTGGAGGTGAGAGGCCCGCTGGCCAGCAGGGTCTGGGGCTCCCCTTCAAACCATTTAAAAGGCCTGCGTCTCTGCCACTTTTTTTTTTTTTTAATGTGTTTCTTTTGCAGTTTTGTTTTTCTTTCCTTTTTTTTTTTAAAAAAAAAATGACCAATGATCTTAATAAATAAAGTATTCATATATACATGAAACTGGGACAATGGTTCCGGAGTGCGTGGCAGCGGCTGAGCTGGGGACACACGTGGGGGCTGGCCTTTTGTAGAAAACTTCTGAACCTTACAAAAAGGTCTCCTCCTGTATTTTTTTTTTTTTTAATCTTTTCTCCTTTTTTTTTTTCTTTTTTTTTTTTTTAAGTTGAGGTAAAAGTTTCAGTGTTTGGGAACCCGCGCGTTGCACACGCAGCCACCGTGTTCCCTCCCGGGAGCTCCCAACGTCACAGAGATCAGAAAAACTCGGCTCCCTTCCACGCCCACCCTCGCCGGTCTGCCACCCGCGGGAGCTCTGGTTGCAGTGACGATGACCCCTCCCCGCTTGGGCCCAGCCCTGGCCCTCACGGCAGGGGCAGGCACGGCTGTCCTCAGCCCCTGCAGAAAGAGGTGACCCCCTCGGACGTGAGGGTCAGAGCCCAGGCCCCCAAAGACAAAGACAAACGCCTGTTCGCAAAGCTAACAGCTTTCACATACGGTACCATTTCCGAGACATCTCCTTTGGAGAAATTCTCGCTGGAGCTACAGACCAGGTCGGGCGTAAGAAAAGGGATTTTGCATGAACCTCCGGATCACACCTTACGTGTTTTTCTACGGTCATCAGGTTAGCGTTTGAAGTTGTCATCTCCAAGGGACTGAATTCAGTTACGAAGGAAAGGCGTTATGCAGATTCACAGCTTCTCATAAAGTCTAATGGACACACACGGAAAGATCTTTGACCTATTAAAGCCAAAACTGGAAGATACCATAACACTGAATTAAAAAGAGAACCTGCACACCATGGAACGAAAATAGTATATTAACCATAGAAGGGAACACTGCAGAGTTTCGGCGTGGGCGACGTCCACTGGTTTTGTTCCGTCCCGTGAGAGCCCAGAGTTTATTCCGAGTCGCTGCTGTCGGAGCTGGATCCGCTGGAGCTGCTGCTCCCGGACTCAGACGAGCTGCTGCTGCTGAGCCGGGAGGGCCCTCCCGAGGGCGCGGAGCCTGACTTTTCTGGGGGAGACGCGCGGGTGAGGGGTGCGCCCCCTACGCGCCGGCCGCCCCTCCCTCCTCGTGAGCCCGTCCGTGCCCCCCCGCCCCCCCCACCGTCACATACCCCGACCCACCCGGATCCTGACCGGGTCACGTGATATATACGTTAAGAGATTTTGTTGAAATGCAGCAACGTGTTAACGAGATTGTGATGGTGTAAGAAATGCGTCTGGTGCTGTACCCTGTTCCCGGCACAGAGCTCCTAAATCCCCTGCAATCTCCCGAGTGGCAAGAACATCTTTTACTGCTAAGTAGCCCCTTTAGCTCACACCTGAGTTTACGCTCACGAGTGACTCGGGGCGGGCCCCCCCCTCCCAGGGCCACAGCCCAGGGCTGCTCACCAGGAGGACCATGTGACCGGGGGCGGGGACTTTCAGCTCCCCCTGCCCCCATGGCCGAGGAGGGGCGGGGGCTGGAGACTGTGCTCCAGAGAGAACCCCCGGTTCAGGGGACCTCCAGCTGCTGGGAGGGTGGCGGCTGGAGAGGCCTGGAGGCTCCACGCCCCCACACCCTGCCCTGTGCCGCTCATCCACCTGGCTGTCCCTGAGCTGTGTCCTTTATAACAAACCACAAAGGGTTTCACTCATTTAATTCCTGAGTTCTGTGAGCCGTTCTAGCCAATTTTCAAACCTGAGGAGGGGGTTGTGGGAATCCCCGATTTACAGCCCGTCAGTCAAAGGCACGGGAGGCTTGGGACGTGCACCTGGCGTCTTAGGGGCGGGGCGGGCTGAGCCCTTAACCGAGCAGACAGCGTCAGCACGGAACTCAACTGCTGGACACCCTGCTCGTGTGGGAGCTGCAGAACTGGCGTGAGACAAACTCGCACGTTTGGTGTCGGAAGTGTGAGCAGAAACAGCTCAGAGGTCAACACATCTAAGTACACTTAGAAGCTGGGAAAAAAGGCAGTCTACTACGAGGAACTGATGGGACGTGCGGGGACGTGGCCGGCCACGTGAAGGATCCACAGTCACATGCACTGAGCAGTAACCACGCCCTCCCCAGGGCTAACGCAAGGGGGGCCTCTCAGCCATCAGTGGGAGCGGGCAGGGCTCCGAGCCCCAGCTTGGCACTGGGCAAGCGGGGCCAGGCTGTGGCACCTGGCCACTGCATGACCAAGACTGGACCTAGAATCTGACCGCCACCTGGGCCCCACTGTCCCTGGGGCCAGGACAAAGGTATTTGCCTTTTCTTACAGGCCCCGGGGAAAGGAGGCAAGGAATCAAATCACCTGCTCGCCTAAAATAAGACCCCGAGTCCACAGAGCTGAGGGCCTGGGGCTGGAAGTCAGGCCCTCCCCCTCCACCTGTGATACTGGCTAACTGGCTGGGAACTGGTGCTCCTGTCTGAGGGCAGCCAGAAAGCCCGCTGCTGGGGGCCAGGACCCACTGAAGCTGCGGGGTAGGACCCCAGTCCCTCCCAAGTCATGGGCTCCAGCCCCCCAAGACCACGGCTGCGCCCTTCCAAAGGGCCGTCTCCCAGGGGCTCTGCAAAGTGGCGCTTCACACACGCCTGTCATGCGCTCAGCCTCCCTGCAGGGCCGGGCTCTGGTCCCAGTTTGCAGATAAGGAAATCAGGGTTTCGGGGGGCTCAACAGCCTCCTCTAGGGAAACACAGCTCGTTACAAGGTGGAGCCACAGGCGCAAACCCAGGTCAGCTGCCCGCTCCCTCCCACTGCCCTCTGCCCGCCGGCAGAGCAGCACGGGGGCCACGGGTACCTCTCTTGGCGGGTTTCTTGCTGTTGCTCAGCTGCTACGTTAAGAGATTTTGTTGAAATGCAGCAACGTGTTAACGAGATTGTGATGGTGTAAGAAATGCGTCTGGTGCTGTACCCTGTTCCCGGCACAGAGCTCCTAAATCCCCTGCAATCTCCCGAGTGGCAAGAACATCTTTTACTGCTAAGTAGCCCCTTTAGCTCACACCTGAGTTTACGCTCACGAGTGACTCGGGGCGGGCCCCCCCCTCCCAGGGCCACAGCCCAGGGCTGCTCACCAGGAGGACCATGTGACCGGGGGCGGGGACTTTCAGCTCCCCCTGCCCCCATGGCCGAGGAGGGGCGGGGGCTGGAGACTGTGCTCCAGAGAGAACCCCCGGTTCAGGGGACCTCCAGCTGCTGGGAGGGTGGCGGCTGGAGAGGCCTGGAGGCTCCACGCCCCCACACCCTGCCCTGTGCCGCTCATCCACCTGGCTGTCCCTGAGCTGTGTCCTTTATAACAAACCACAAAGGGTTTCACTCATTTAATTCCTGAGTTCTGTGAGCCGTTCTAGCCAATTTTCAAACCTGAGGAGGGGGTTGTGGGAATCCCCGATTTACAGCCCGTCAGTCAAAGGCACGGGAGGCTTGGGACGTGCACCTGGCGTCTTAGGGGCGGGGCGGGCTGAGCCCTTAACCGAGCAGACAGCGTCAGCACGGAACTCAACTGCTGGACACCCTGCTCGTGTGGGAGCTGCAGAACTGGCGTGAGACAAACTCGCACGTTTGGTGTCGGAAGTGTGAGCAGAAACAGCTCAGAGGTCAACACATCTAAGTACACTTAGAAGCTGGGAAAAAAGGCAGTCTACTACGAGGAACTGATGGGACGTGCGGGGACGTGGCCGGCCACGTGAAGGATCCACAGTCACATGCACTGAGCAGTAACCACGCCCTCCCCAGGGCTAACGCAAGGGGGGCCTCTCAGCCATCAGTGGGAGCGGGCAGGGCTCCGAGCCCCAGCTTGGCACTGGGCAAGCGGGGCCAGGCTGTGGCACCTGGCCACTGCATGACCAAGACTGGACCTAGAATCTGACCGCCACCTGGGCCCCACTGTCCCTGGGGCCAGGACAAAGGTATTTGCCTTTTCTTACAGGCCCCGGGGAAAGGAGGCAAGGAATCAAATCACCTGCTCGCCTAAAATAAGACCCCGAGTCCACAGAGCTGAGGGCCTGGGGCTGGAAGTCAGGCCCTCCCCCTCCACCTGTGATACTGGCTAACTGGCTGGGAACTGGTGCTCCTGTCTGAGGGCAGCCAGAAAGCCCGCTGCTGGGGGCCAGGACCCACTGAAGCTGCGGGGTAGGACCCCAGTCCCTCCCAAGTCATGGGCTCCAGCCCCCCAAGACCACGGCTGCGCCCTTCCAAAGGGCCGTCTCCCAGGGGCTCTGCAAAGTGGCGCTTCACACACGCCTGTCATGCGCTCAGCCTCCCTGCAGGGCCGGGCTCTGGTCCCAGTTTGCAGATAAGGAAATCAGGGTTTCGGGGGGCTCAACAGCCTCCTCTAGGGAAACACAGCTCGTTACAAGGTGGAGCCACAGGCGCAAACCCAGGTCAGCTGCCCGCTCCCTCCCACTGCCCTCTGCCCGCCGGCAGAGCAGCACGGGGGCCACGGGTACCTCTCTTGGCGGGTTTCTTGCTGTTGCTCAGCTGCCCGCTGACATCCTGCAGCCGCCTCTCAAGCTCCTTTTTCTTTTCCTGAGCCAGCTCCTCCTTCGACTTGGCCGCCTGCTTCTTCCCGCTCGCGGCTGTGGAAGAGCACGGGAGCTGAGGCCACAGGCGGGGAAGGGCGGGCGGCCCCAGGGGCAGCCCACACGCACAGAGGCCCCGCCACACGCGAGGCTCTGCAACTGTCACAAAACTCCTGAGCTGGGACAGACCACCCCCACTGCAGACAGCTGCACAGACGGCGGCACCCCCGGGTGAGGGGCAGAGCTGCGGCTTGAGGCCCTGACCCCCCAACTCATGGTTTTCCTTCGCCACGGCCGAGGCTCTCCCTCGGCCTCGGTGAGGCCCAGACTCCGCCCTGGAGCCAACTCCACCTCCTGGTGTGCCTGCGCCAGCACCTCTGAGTCCACAGGCGACTTATCGAGGGGCAAACGTGCCGTGACTGCAGGGGTCACGCCATGCTCCATCCAGGAGAAGGCAGCTTCCCCCCTCAGAGCGAGTGAGGACCACGCAGCCCGGGGGGGGGGG